TGACTTGACTCTGCCAGGGATTTCTCCCTGAGTCACACCAGAGAAACCCCTCATCACCTCACCCCTTCCTATGTGGCTGTTTGCATTTCAGCCCCAGGGAGTGCTCAGGCCACGTCCTGTCCAGGCTCCCATCATTGTCTCTAGAGTGGAAACCGCCCATGTTTCCAATTGAGGTCACTCTTCTGATGGGTGGGTTGTGTTGTAAGAATGTGCAAGTTGTTTTCTAGAAAAAAGATAAGAACAACAGCAGCATTCTCCCTACACCCCCTAGCCACCCCCCCCCCAAGTGATGCCCTGCGGCTGGATGTGAGGCACGGTCTCCTAAGTGAGCACTTAGTAAGGGAGAACTCAACTGCCAGGGCGGGCACACTCACAGTGGCACATCTGTGTGAATGTTCTTTCAGGGGAGAAATAAGCTTAAAGTTATTACACATCCACACCCTTTGCCTTTCCCTTGTGTCATTTAACTCTGGGGTGAAACAGTTCATTTCTTCTCTCTCCCAGCAGTTCTACCTTATGCCAAATTAGCTGGAGGAGGTCGTTGGCCCCTGGCCTGGTGGAGCTCACTGAGTCCAGGGCTGGTCTTAGAATCCTGACAAGAACACACTGTCCCTTGAAGGTGTTGTCAAGGGTCACCCAGCTGCCTGACTCTTATCTGTCCTGTCCCCCAGGCGCTGGAGGAGAAGGTGCGGACCACAGAGACACAAGTGCTTGTGGCCTCTGCACAGAAGAAGCTGCTGGAGGAGAGACTAAAGCTCGCTGCGGAGTTATGGGATGCTGGTATCAAGGTAGAGGAGGCACCCCTGGGAATGCCGGCAGTCTAAAGCAGAGCGCACCCTTGGCGCTGTGGAGGTAACCCAAAGGGCTAGAGCACATACTTGGCATGCTGGAGCCTGGATTTTGTCCCTGGCACCACGTGGTCTCTGGGAGTAGCACCTGAGCGATGCCAGTTGTGACCCAAACCCCACCCACCTCCCAACTACCAACACACACACACACACACACACACGCACAGCAAGCAAACTCACCCTTAGTGATGCTGCCGTTACTCTAACTTCTTGGGGTGGAGCTAAGAACAAGGTGTCAGAACAATCTCCAGAGGTCCCCCGGAGATTATCCTCAGGACAGCAAAGCCAGACTTCACTTCACTTTCTGCCCTGGTGCCCGCAGGCAGAGCTGCTCTACAAGAAGAACCCCAAGTTACTGAATCAGCTGCAGTACTGCGAAGAGACAGGGATCCCTCTAGTGGCCATCATCGGTGAACAGGAGCTCAAGGAAGGGGTCATCAAGCTCCGCTCAGTGGCCAGCAGGGAAGAGGTAAGGGGGGCAGCTGGAAGGCTGCCGGAGGGATGTCTGCTGTGCTGGCAGGCCGGTGCCCACTGAGACTGGGGAGACAGTGGCAGAGGTCCTTCTCCACGAGTACCTCTTGGCTCTTGGACTCCCCCAAGAAACACCATCTACCTGCAGTGCCTGAGTGGCTCCTGCCCCCAAACGGTGCCACGAATGACTGGGAGAGCAAGGTGTGGGCCCTCCCAGGCAGTGGGGCGGGCAGTGCTCATACCACCTTCCTCCCTCGGCCAGGTGGATGTCCGGAGAGAAGACCTGGTGGACGAGATCAAACGGAGAACGAGCCAGCCCCTCTGCAACTGCTGACCAACCAGCGAGGCCGCAGAGGGAAAGTGGACTGGCACTGAGTGAGGCTGGGGAACTCAGCAGTGTCCTTCCATAGCCTGCTTGGATCTGTCCCTGCGGCGAGACCCCGAGAGCGGCCAGAATTGAGACTTTTAAAAAATTATGATTATTTTATTGATAATTAGCCACCAGCGGCAGGGCGAGGGGTTAGGGGGTGGGGAACGGGCATTTTGCATCAAAGGCCCAGGAGGTTTAGTCCTACCAGCCCATCCCTCCCCGGGGCCTGGCAGTAGGAAGAGGCCGAAAATGGCCTCCATTTCTTTCATCTGCGGCGCCCTACAACGGAAGGCGCAATGTTCCACAAACACCACCAAAGGTCCAATAAATGCCTAAACTACTGCAGCCTGTTTGCATCAATGTTGCCAATCTCGCCTTCCGCATCAGGAAGGGCCTCCCACTCGGACCACCGGTGGTGGCAAAGAGGTGAACGGTTAGGCTCGGTGAAAGGGTACCAGGAGATTCTTGCCCACTGCGGGTGCTTCTTGGGGTGACTGGCTACCTGCAGCCTTGCCCGGGGCAGCGCTCTGGGCACCTGGGGCCCAGCCACACCTGTGTTGGTGCTTCCCAGCGGCTCACGTGCAGAGGGGGCCTCCGCCCCCCGGGGAGGCGGGGTCGCGTCCCGGGCCAATGAGCGCTGTGGTGGGGGGGGAGTGGAGGGATAGGGAAACTTCCAGAGTGCGGCAGTGTTGGGGGAGGAGGTTATAAAGGGGGTGGCCACGGACCAGCTGGAGAACCATGCAGTCCAAGCGGGAGTGCGAGGTAGGAGCTTGGCACCCAGAGCGTCACCCAGCGCCCCTTCGCTTAAGGAGCTGGGGCAGCGGGACCCCAATGCGGCGTGTGCGCGGGGTCGGGGGTGGGGACCACGCCGTGCGATCCGCCATTCCCACCTGCCCTTTGGCCTGCAGCTCTGGTGTGAGCGAGTGAATCCGGAGAACAAGGCGGCGCTGGAGGCTTGGGTCAGGGAGACGGGCATCCGCCTGGTGCAGGTGAACGGGCAGAGGAAGTACGGCGGCCCACCCCCAGGTACGGCAGCCCCTTCCCTCCGCTGCCGCGACGGCCTCGACGGCCCCGCCGGCCCCCATTGGGGGAGGGGCCAGCGTGGGGGAGGGTTGGGTTGCAAAGCCAGGACCCCCGGCTGCCCTTTCCGCCTCCCCAGCAGATGGGGCGATTTTTGTCTCGGCCCCACCACCCCTCAAGGAAGGGGGCCAGTCTTTAAAGGGCCCCGCTTCTGCCAGCCCCCGGACTCGCTTCTCTATGCCCTGACCCAGGTTTCCGAGCTCGATCCTTTTCACAGATGATTGCCAAAGCCCCTCCCACCCTGGCCCCCTTCCCCCAGCCAGCCTGATGAATGACGGCACCCCCTCCCCACTCTCCTCCCCCAGGCTGGGTGGGCAGCCCGCCGCCAGCCGGCTCCGAGGTGTTTATCGGGCGGCTGCCGCAGGACGTGTATGAGCACCAGCTGATCCCACTGTTCCAGCGCGTGGGCCGCCTCTACGAGTTCCGCCTGATGATGACCTTCAGCGGCCTGAACCGCGGCTTCGCCTATGCTCGCTACAGCTCGCGGCGCGGCGCCCAGGCAGCCATCGCCACGCTGCACAACCACCAGCTGCGGCCGTCGTGCCCGCTGCTTGTGTGCCGCAGCACCGAGAAGTGCGAGCTGAGCGTGGATGGGCTGCCGCAGGCTCTGAGTCGCCGCGCGCTCCTGATGGCGCTGCAGCCGCTGGGCCCCGGCCTGCAGGAGGCGCTGCTGCTGCCCAGCCCGGGGCCAGCGCCCGCGCAGATGGCGCTGCTCAAGTTCAGCTCCCACCGCGCCGCCGCTATGGCCAAAAAGGCCCTGGTGGAAGGTAGGGGGATGGGGGTGGGGGGCAGGCGCGTGGAAGATGCGAGAGCGGGGGCGGGGGCGTGGTTTGGGGCCAGACACGTCCAGGCACTACCACCGAAGTAGTGTGGTTGCAAGATTTTGGGGCCTAACTAGCCTGAGTGGGCAGTCTTTTATTATGCATTTGAGCTATTTTTAAATTTATGGTGTTGCAACCTGGCACCTCCTACCTGAACCTAAACGCTTCCCTGATCTCCTGACTGAATATTCAGCATCCCAGTGAAACTGAATGGTGGCCCTTAAAGGTGAGGCTACTGCAGGTGAGACACTGACTAGCCCGAGGCGGTCTAAGCCTTTTACCTTACCGCTTCCTTTTATCTGTGGAGCCTACCTTTTATTCCTGAGGAAAAAGCTTTCTCAGATTACTTACCACATAAAGCCTGCAACTATCAGTAGCTTGCATTATACCTTCTTTACAAAGCAGCACAAAGAAGCCTGGGGACTGAACTTGCCCAAGGTCACATCTCAGGGAAATGGGGAGGCTGAAACTTAAGCAGAGGACCAGGTTTTATCCCCAGCACCCTATATGGTCCCTGCTCCATCAAGAAGATCCCTGAGCCAAGGGTGACCCATGCACCTCCCCCCCCATAAAAAAAAAAAAAGAAAGAAAACCCCAGCTCCTAGGGGCTCACAGGGACTGGGACTTTGGCCAGGGAGTTGACTTGCTCTTGTCTGTTTTCTCAGGGCAGTCACGCCTCTGTGGAGAGCAGGTAGCGGTGGAGTGGCTCAAGCCAGACCTGAAGCAGAGACTCCGCCAGCAGCTAGTGGGTCCCTCCCTGCAGTGCCTACAGCCAGAGGGCAGCCAGTTGGGCCTGGCTAATGCCAAACTTGAGTCTCAAGGAGCTCGGGCTGCCCTGCAGCTTCTATGCCAACGGATGAAGCTGGGCAGTCCAGTGTTTCTTACCAAGTGTCTGGGCACAAGCCATACTGGCTGGCACCGCTTCTGGTACCAGGTGGTGATCCCTGGTCACCCAGTGCCCTTCAGTGGTCTCATCTGGGTTGTGCTAGCCCAGGAAGGGCAGGAGGTTCACGAGGCAGCTAAAGAGGCTGTGTCCCTACGACTGCTGGAGGCGATAAGTGAGTGCGGGGCTGGCCTCCTGCGGTCTTCTGGGGCTGAGGCAGATGCCATGGCTAAGCAGTGACCGTGTTCTCCCTGCGGGAGCCTGAACAAGGAGGCAAAGCCTAGCAGGCCTGGGCAGCCACCCCCTTATCCCAAGAGGAACCCGGGGCCTGCCCTAAGTCTGACAGCCTCCTAGCTGGGGGCAGCTGGTGTCTGGCTGGGCAGTGGGCATGGCCATACCCTTCTCTCAACCCAGGGGAACGGTAAGGTCTCACCCCACGGTTTTCCTTGGCCACTGTGTGACAGACACACATCACGTACCCATACCCACCTCACATTCCCCTAATAGCTTAGCATGAATCTTTGTTAATTTCTTGGGTTGTCCTTTGTTGGCTTTTATTTGTGGGCTGGCTGAGCCAAAGGGTCAGAAAGCTGCCTTTTGTCCCCACTAGTGGCATTCCAGTTTTTGATTTATGTGTGGTTTTGAGTTTTTCTGTGCTGGTTTGTATTTATATTAAACCTATGGTTGTCATACACCTGTGTCCGTACTGTCTTGCCCAGCTGTGGGTTGCCTAACTCAGGCAGAGTGAGCAGATGCTCTAAGAAGTGCAGGTTCCCGCTCTCAGTGCTTGGGTCTCCACAAGATGGTGACAATTCAGAATCTCTCAGAGGAGGCAGCAGCCCAGGAAGGGACAGTGGGGGGTTGTCTTGAGACTCAGTCACTGTCATCCTCACTTTCTTCCTCCTCCTCCTCCTCCTCCTGAGTCATGGACTTCTCTCCCTCCTCCCTCAGTCCTGCAAAGAAGTCATCTGGGCTCCAGGCCTTGCTGCTCAGGGCCCGAAGTGGCCCTCCTTTCTTCTTGCGCCGTCGGTAGTCATCCACTTCCAAAGCCCGCAGCTGGGCCATGTCCCAAAATTTAAGGCGCTGGTCATGGCCACTGCTAGCCAAGAAGCGGCCACAGTGGGAGAGGGCCAGCTCCTCCACAGGTTCCCCTGCGTGCTGGCCCACAGTGCCCACCACTCGGTTGGGCAGGATGTTCACGGCCCTGAAAGAGAGAGAATGTGGCACTGGCTGGCTGAGCCCGGCCTTGCGTGCACCAAGGGCCATGCTGGCTTCTCTTACCTGATGATGCCGTCGGTGGAGCCGGTGCATAGCAGACTCTCGGTTACGGGAACCATGCAGTCAATTGACTCTGCTCTCAGAGCAAAACGGTCACTTGTTGCCCCAAAGCCATTCCAGTTGAAGAGGTAGATGGTACCTTCACTGGAGCCACAGGCCACTTTCTTCCCACACTTCAGAGAAATGGGGAAAACTGTTTGTGAAGCTTGTCAGATCAGGTCCCTTGCACCCTCCACCCTACTCTACCCATCCCTCATCCCCAGATGTACTTTCATGATGGTGACAGAGGTCAGGTCTCCAGACTGAGGCTCGGAAAGCACTTCTAACCGGTGTCTCCGGATGTTGAAGACGCCAAGGCAGCCATCCCCACTGCAGAGACAGGAGCAGGTCTGGTGAGAGACTTCCAGGGAGACACTTCACCCAGGGAAAGAAGAGGGAGCTTTAGGCTGTACCTGGCTGTCAGCAGCAGTTTCTTGGCTGGGTCCAGGGCCATATCCGCAATGTACTCCTCATGCTGTCGCATGTCCATTAAGGGGCCCTCCTTCCGCTGGTCCCAGAGCCGGACGCCACCTGTGTCATCCCCAGTGGCCAGAACATTCTTATCCACCAGCAGCAGACTGTTGATGGGGGCACTGGAGACACAATCCAGACTTGTAGCATCTTCATTCCCTGGGACCTACTGGTCCTTACCCCTCACCTCAGTGGTTAGTCCCCTTACCTATGAGCCTTGGAAATGCGTCTTTCTAGTCGACCCTGCTCCACATCTAGCACATGGATGGCTTTGTCCTTGGAGACGGTAACAAGTTCTAGGGGAAGAAGGGACCCAGGTCACGGTGCTGTGTGCCCACAGCTCCTCTCCCAACACCACATTGCTGGCTGCCTTCCAGACACTCACGCTGCCCATCTGCAGAGAAAACAACAGCTCGGCAGGACTTGAGATGGTGACCTGAGGACCAGAGTTCCTTGTTTTCTCCTTCTTGGCAGGAATAGGAAAAGCTGAGGAGAAAAGAGGAACACGAATGACCCCAGACCCCACCTGCAATGCATGGAGCATAGAGACCAAGTCACCAACTTTGAACTACCCAGGAGTTCCTACTTGCCCATCTCCAAATTCAAAGAGCTTACCCCATTTTTTTCTGCTTTTTATGTTTTGTGTTTTGGTCACACTAAGGTCAGGGACTACTCCCCGCATTACCCCAAATAGCACTGGGGATCATACCTCGGGTTCCCACATGGTAAGCACGTGCTCTAGCCCTCTGAGACATCTTTCTTGCCCCTTTCCACATTTTCCCCCACTGAGGACCCCAGACCACAGGGCGGTCAGGATCAGCACTGCAAGCACAGTACCAAAGATTAAGCTCAGGGCCACACCTTGACGCAGATACTTTCCAAGCCACTAAATCATCATCTGGGTCCTTTGGCTGCAGTCCCTAATGGCAGAGCAGTTAGGGCCACCTAAATGCGTGCAGGCATCACTGGGGTTTGAACTGGAGGTCTTGCACTTGCCTGGCAAGCTTTAAGCCACCTTTAGTCGAACCAGGCATCATGGTGGGACTGACCTAGTCACCTCAGAATGGTGATATCAGGATTTGCACTCACAACTTTGTATTTGTCTTAAGTCACTGAGCTATCTCCAGATGGCTTTTCCCACTTTCTATTCTAAATGTTAGGGTGTTTTTCAACCAGTATACATTCAAAATACATTTGCAGGGCTGGAGTTATAGTACAGTGGTTAGGGCATTTCCCTTGCAAGCAGCAAACCTAGGCTCAATTCCCAGCATCCCATATGGTCCTCTGAGCACTGCCAGGAGTAACCCCTGAGCATCACCGAGTGTGACCCCAAAAGTAAAAAAATAATTTATACAGGTCATTTTTGTGACCTAATTTTCCTGACCTTTATCCCAACCCTCATCCCCACTCCCCCACCCCCTGCTAAAATTAAAAAAACAAAAAAGTGGCTAAGGAGACGGACAGTCTCAAGTTTGGTCTCAGCATGGCATGATTCCCAAAACTAAATATGGCCCTGATCACCCCCAAGCAGCAACAGGCCTACCTGAGTACCACATATCCCAGTCAAGTACCAGTGGAAGTGGCCTTACAAACTCCTTAACAATGCTTGAGATGCCCCAAAATAAATGTAAAGAAAACAAGGGCAAAGAGATAGCACAGGGGTTAAGGCACTTGACTTACATGTAGCCAACCCCAGTTTGATCCCAACACCTCGAGTGGTCCCAAGAGCATTACCAGAAATGACTCCTGAGAACTATCAGGTATGGCCCAAACTCCCCCTCAACTTCCAAAACAAGCAACTAAACAGTAACAAAACTGGCCAGAGGCCAGAGAGATTACAGAAGGTAAGGCACTTGTCTTGCATGCTGCCAACTCAGGTTAATACCTCAGAATCACATATGGTCTCCCTACCCCAGTTCCATCAGAAGTGACCCCCGAACACACAGTCCTGTGAATAGTCCCTGAACATCATTTGGTGTGGCCCAACTGTATGCCCCACTAAAAACCAGCAAGCCTGAACAAACTTAGGTCTGGGTCACAGTGGAGGCCCCAAAATACGTATTTGTTAAATTAACGAAGGATAGTTCTGGAAGTTGGGAAACCACGCTAGAAAGAGTCCCAATTAACCACACCATATAGGGATGCTGGAAGGGAGACCAATCAAATGGAGGTGGAGTGAAAGTGTGCTTGTCAGCTCAGATTTGAAGTACCAGTTAAGAGTATCCCCAGAGCTTGCCTCAGCACTGATCCCCCACAAGGGGAAATGTAATCCTATGGGAAAGAAATTTCAGAATGGTTACAGGAGGAAAGGCCAGCCAGAAAGCAGCAATTGAGAGTAGGGAAGAGGCACTGAAACAATAGAATGGTGTGTGTGTGCACATGTGAAGAAAAACAGAGGTACCAGGTATCTTCCAAATGCCTAACTTCAACACATGGAGAGTTGCTGGAGGGAACCCACGTTTGTGAATTCAGGTGCTGTACTAAACACGCACCCTTCTGCAATATAGGTATTATTGTTACCACCACTTTTTACTGCTGTAGGGGCCAACCCAGTCAAGGGTGCAGTGACAGACGGGACATGTGCAGGGGATCAAAACCTGGTCTTCCCACATGCAAGAAATGTCTCCACCATGTGAGCTATATTCTCACCAATAGTCCCATTTCCAAAACTACAAATACTGAAATTGACTAAAAATGAGGTTTGAATTCATTTCATAAACCCGGTAGTTCAGTTCTAAGTTAAACCTTAAATCCCTTTTCAGATTCTAGCCTACTTCTTTCATTCAAAATCAAACGTGTACTGAGCATCTACCCTGAGCTATAAACAGGAGTTTAAAAAATTACGAACAAAACGGACTATGCATAACTCTCCACAACAGTTTCCCTGGTTCCAATCATAACTCATTAGTGCACTGCAACCAGAATTTCATGAGCCCCAAATAACAGAATAAAATCACAAGATATCAGAGTACATTAGACAAAATGTAAAAGCAATTTTTCTCACAGTAAAAATTTATTGTGGGGTAGGTAAAAAAAATTCATAAACATTAAGGGAGACAGGCACTCAAATTATGACATGCATGACTAGAAGCCGTTAAGAGATTGAGGGAAAGTCAGCGGCTAACAAGAAACCTCCTTCAGTCTAGGACTTGGAGTCAAGTAAGGTGAGGCCGACAAAACGTGTCTCCCTGTGCCTTTCTTCACTGCAGCTCCATCCCGGCGGAGCTCGTCCCGGGCAGTTCCCAGACAGTGCCCACCACGCCCCCTGCACTCACACGAACACGTCCCCGTCCACATCCCCGGCCGCCAGCAGGTCGCGGGTCGGGTGAAACGCCAGCCCACTGGCCGGCGCTTCCAGCACGATGTCTTCCGGGGTGTCCCGGATCCGAGGCGAAGCTTCCGTAGAATCGGGGTCCTCTTCGTCGCTCCCATCCTCCACAGGCCTCTCTTCACACGTGCGTTCCATGCACTACAGGACTCACAGTCACGCGCAGTCGTGCACAGGCAAGCTGAGCTGCGCGGCTAGGGTACACTTCCGCGGCGGGGCGGCGCCGGAAGTGACGTAGAGGAAAGGCGGGATTAACCCCGAAGTGGCCCAGTTAAGCCGGGCTGAGAGCGGGTGCTTGAAGGACCAATCTTTTGTGAATGGCTGATGAAACCCAACTACGAGAAATGTGACCAGGTTGGTCAGGAAGCCTCAAAAAAAACAGACGGGAGAATCTGACTTGGGAACAGCAGGCAGCCCTCACAGACGCTTTAAACTGCTGTGGTTTGTGCTCAGCGTCTTTGTGGGCAAAGGAATGCTTCTCTCCCTGCTCTCTAGTTTGGTTCCTGATTTGGATGGAGGCTTGGCGAGGGAGGCCAGCATATCTCAAATTTGGCAAGGAGTTGCTGAAGGGGGAGAGGGCAGGGCAGCTGACAACATTCTAGACATGTTACCAAAAGTTCCACAAAGATGGGAGCAATTTCCATGATGGGACAGTTGGGTTTTGTTTGGGTTTGGGGGGTGGGGGTTGGGAAGGTTTGAGCCACACCCAGCAATGCCCAGGGGTCACTCCTGGCTCTGCTGTTAGGAATTATTCCAGGTGGTGCTTGGGGGACCATATACTGTGTCTGGATCAAACCCTGGGTCAGCTACCTGCAAGGCATGCATCCTTACCCACTGTACTATCTCTCTGACCCTTGGGGCCATTTTCTTGTGGCTACTCAAACCTCACCCAGCTGTAGTAGTAAGCCCCTCCTCCCATCTCCTCGCGCTTCACATCACAAATGAATCTCGGTAGAAAGCAACACACTGCAGATGCCTCTGGAACCCAAAAATCACCATCCAGTTAAAAAAAATTTTAACGCTAGATCTAAAACCCTATGAAAAAATTTTAGAATTCCAGGAGCATGTAGCTGCAAAAGTGGCTGCCCAACAACTCAATTATGCCAAGGATACACAAAGAGTCGCACACCACATTTGATGGGGTGTAAGGTAGAAGACAGCCAATCTTGATTAAAAATGTAAAAAGTTCTGAACATATATATGTGTCTGTGTGTATATATATATATATATTCGCACATGACTCAAACTCTAACATGTTAATGAATAATCTCTAATACAGGGACTTAAATGGCTCCAAGATGAGATACAACAATTTTCAACCACTTTCCTCTACAGAAACCTTTTTGGGTCATTTTTAATTATTCATAATAAGCAATACAAAATAAGTTATTTAGCATCTGCCTTTGGGGCAGGCTTAGATGATGGTGAGAAAACTCAAAATAATGGTGGTGGGAAGGTGTAATGGTGGGATTGGTGTTGAAATAATGTCATCAATTACTATGAATAACTCTCTGAAAATAAAATTAAAAAGTAAATAAAAGGCTGAGCCTTATAGTTAGACTGGCAGTCTTCTAGGCTGACCCTAGTGCCCAGAGGTTCTCTACCCAGAGGTAAGTCTTAAAAGAAACATAAATGAGCCAGACAATTGGGATCAATCATTCAATCCATTCATCTGTCCATCTCTTGGCCACCAGAAAAGGTCATTCCTCCCTTTTCCCTCCTATTCTACCACTCACTATCTAGAAATCTAATGCTCAGGAAAGGACTCAGCTGACTTTCTGCATGTGAAATCAGGGCCTGACTGAAAACAATCAGTAGAACTGATAACTATCTAAATACTTCAGGATAGAGAAGAAAGCAGGTTTAATTATTATTTATTTATTGTGAGAGCTACTTCTGGAGGAGTTCAGAGTTCATTAAGGCCACAACCAGCAGTGCTGGGGGAAAAGACAGGCAATGCGAAGCCAGGGACTAATCCCTGTGCCTCACACATGCACACCACGTGCCCTGCCACTTGGGCCCCAGGATAACCAATTTTAATGGAGCCAAATGATTATACAGTAAAAGTTTATAAACATTCACAAAAAAAAAAAAACACTTGTGACTTCTCTGGGAACTGAAGAAAGAGCAATGGGACACACATCCTTGGAGAGATTCCGCCCCCCCCACCCCGGAAAGATTCTTTCTGTACATCAATGGAGATCAGTATTTTGGTCTTTTGACCTCAACCCTGTAATGAAAGAAGAAAGGAGTCAAGTCAATATACTTGATGATGCCCACCAGTTCCACACAGCAGTAATAAAGAACCTTACCCATCAGCTTCCATCTTCTTCCTCTTCTCAATGATCTGCAAAAATTTAGAACCAGTTATAGCTAAGAATGACACAGGCCCCAAGTTGTCCTCTTTCCTATTCCCATGGCCCAGCAATGCTTCCCCACCTCCTGCCTATTCCTGGGTCTGAGTCAGTGTCTCCTCCCACCTAAGGGCAGTTTCACTTACTGCACTAATCTTCTTCCACTGACGATCAAGTTCTGCCTTGTCATTGGTTTCCTTAAAGCGCCTGGTTTTCCGCCCTTCAGACATCTTGATGCCATACTGGAATGCGGCTCTGAGTTAGAAGAAGATATAAAGATGTTACCAAACAGTAATAAGCTATTCCCAAGAGCAGAGGGAACAAGCTGTTTCCAGAGAGCACACTATACCTTCTGACCTGCTGTGGGTTGTCCAACCCATTACCAGCCCTCCCCTGTTCCTCACTCCCAAGGTCGAATGTAGTATCTACTCACTTGGGCAAAGCCTCTTTGTTGTTCATATATTCACTGTATTCCTCTTGGGTATCAAAGTCCCATCGGCCTAAGGGCCCCTTCTTGTTACCCTGTTGCAGAACAGAATTGGCAGATAGAGAAAGGAAGAATTGTCAGCGGCAATAAATATTTAGCTGATATTAGCCCTTGATTAAATTCAGGTTTTTAACACGTTTCATCATTCATAAATCTTACACTAATAATCGCTTATTATGTACCTAATATGTGCCAGACATTATTCTACTAAATATGTACCTTACTCAACTATTCTAAAAAACTATTAAGGACCAGAGCTAGAGAACAGTGGGCGAAGCCAACCCAGGTTCCATACCTGGTACCCCATAGGGTTCCCTGAGCCCTGATAGGATTGACCCCTGAACAGAGAGGCAGGATAAGCCCTGAGCACTACAGAGTGTGACCCCTCCCTGGAAAATAAAACAACTATTAATATGGAACTGTACTCTCATGAGCTGGTTGACAAAACTGAGACATAAGCAGTAAGTTAAAACGGCCCCAAGAGGGGCTAGAAATAGTACAGCAGGTAGGACATTTGCCTTGCATGCGGCCAACCCAGGTTTGATTCCCAGCATCCCATATGGTCCCCTGAGCACCGCCAGGAGTAATTCCTGAGTGTAAAGCCAGGAATAACCCCTATGCATCACCGGGTGTGGGAGGGAGGGACGGAGGGAGGGAGGGAAGGAAGGAAGGAAGGAACAGCAGAGATATTTTATAAAGGCTCCACGACAGAATTAAATCATAGTTCTAACCATTAAAGTGAGAACAAGGGCGGGGCTGGAGTGATAGCACAGCAGGTAGGGCGTGTGCCTTGCACGCAGCCAACATGGCTGACACAGGTTCCATTCCCAGCATCCCATATGGTCCCCCGAGCACCGCCAGGAGCAATTCCTGAGTGCATGAGCCAGGAGTAACCCCTGAGCATCGCCAGGTGTGACCCAAAAAGAAAAAAAAAAGTGAGAACAAGGGCAAAAGATATGAAAAGGCGCATTTTAAAAAAATATTTGTCCTTTTGAGGTTAGAGTGATTGTACTGCAGGTAGGGGGTTTGCCTTGCATGTGCCCTGAGCACAGTGCCAGGAGTAAGCCCTGAGCACCACCAAATATTGTCATAAAACCAAAAAATCTGTTGTTTTATTTTGCTTTTTCTTTTGTTTTTTTTTTGGGGGGGGGGAAGGACGTTGGTATCGAGGACTGAATCCAGACACTCTTACCACTAAGCCTCATCCCCAACCTTGTTTTTTGGTGTTTTTTTGTTGTTGTTGTGGGGGCAGGGTGGCGGGGGTTCATACCCAGCGATGCTCAGGTATTGCTCCTGGCTCTTTACTCAGGAATTACTCCTGACAATGCTTGGGGGACCATATGGGATGCTGAGGATAGAATTTGGGTCGACCACCCATAAGGAAATACCTACGTGCTGTACTATTGCTCTGGCCCCAACAGTTTTCATTTTTTGTTTTGAGCACCCAGAGGTGCTCAGGGCTTACTCCTGGCCTTGCACTCAAGGTTCTCACCTGAAGGGCTCAAAGGACCATATGGAGTACTAGGAATTGAAACTGGCTTAGCCACTGCAAGGTAAGTGCCTTACCCCCTGTATTAATGTTCTGGCCCCGTTTTTTTGTTGTTGTTGTTTTGTTTTGTTTTTTTATTGAAACACCATGAGAGCAGTCACAAAGTTTTCGGTTTAAGTCTCAGTCATACAATGATGAAGACACCCGAACCTTCACCAGTGCACATTTTCCACCACCAAAAACCCCAGTATCCCCTCCCCTCCATCCCACATCCTCCCCCTATGTGGCAGACAATTTCCATGTTACTCTCTCTCTGCTTTGATTACATTCAATATTTCGACACCAAACCTGCCATTATTATTTGGGATTTTACCCCAACACTCAGATCTGCCTAAAAGGCAACATTAGACAATTTGTTTTCTATTGCTGATTATGAATTGCATATGATGATGCACGGCCGCGATAGCGGCTGCGTGATTTTGAAATTCTGAATTTTTAATAATTAAATCTAAAGGGATTTCTGCCAAAAGCTGCTGTGTTCGAGAGTTTTGTTTCTGAGTCTCTGGGATCATGGCCGATAAGCATCTCCAACAGCAGCCAGAGGGCTAGTTCCTGGGTGGCAATTCGGGGAGGGGGGGGCGGAGGAAGGGCCAGCTCCACCCCCATTCCATGATCTGGCCCCGTTTTAAATTTTGAAGACAGAAAAAAATTTCAGTCCCGAACCAACTAAACGTCTTTGTAAAAGACTCAATTCCTCCTGTACTTTCACTAAAGGCTTGCTCACTGCCTAAGGGTGAAAATCAAAGCCTGGCACATTGTAGAAAATAAAATACAAATCCTTCTAGGCTCT